GAAGATGATGTCCTGGACCGTAGCGACGTTGCCGGAGCTGCTCGATGTTTGAGGTCTTGCAGATCAAGAGTACTGGTCTCCAGGTAGCTATCCATGGGTGATTCCATTCAAGAAGTTCCGCAGCTGTTTGGAGGCCACGTGAATTCCAAAGGCGTTCTCCACTCAGGCCGCGACTGGAGATGACTTCATATTTTGGTGTACATGAAGGTGAATGGCGGCAGCCGGCTCCTGCTTATAGAGGAAGATCTTGGGTATCTTCCGCCCTGGTACTCATATCCACTTCCTCTGTCTGGGCTGCGAAAACTTCGCTCATATGTGACTCGGCCGGAATGACTTTTTTTTGGCCCCCCCTGTACATTCATCCGAGCGTCTTGATTCTGCATCAATGTAGAAAATCGATTTGAGAGCTTGGCAAGTAGGACCACGATCACGTTCCTCAAAGGTACGGTCTGCGATAAGGTATAGAAACTGAAAACATGGCGTCGGTACCCCTACGAACAATCTTGTACCGGTTTTGCCGCAAAAAGTTTAAGAGAGGGGCGCTATAGCGCAATATAGGTCCAGTGACGCCTCCTTTTTCCAGTGACTCCGCCTTAAGACTCCGGCTCCGTTTTTCACTGGAAGGCCCTCAAGGCGCGCCTTTCAGCGAAAAGCGGAGCTGCAGGACGAAAAGCATGAAAATCATCGCTTTTACGGTCGTAGAGTTCTTATCGAAGGAGGCAGCACTGAGGATGTGCTGCTGAAGATGGAGGTGATTGGGGACGTACAAACTTTCATCGGAATGGAGTTGACTTCAACCTGCCGTCTATGTGCGAACTCCTGGTCCACCATCTGTGATGGCGAATGATGGTGGGCTTTGGATTCAAGATGAGTCATGATCACGACACACCATTGGTTGGGGATTTTGGTCGAGTCCGCACACCCCCTCCCCCTAGAAGGTAACTTGATACGATCCCCCTCGCCCATCACCAAATACCCCCCTCCGCCACCCTGTTAGGGTATCCCAACGATGGTATGCGCTTGCCGTGAATCATACATATGATGTGATATGTTAACACAGCTGCTGGCGTGCCACGTATGACAACACGAATGTTAACGTGCCGCTCCTTTGCTTTTCTTTTGAACTTGGAGGGTACAGCATGGAATCATTTACGCATGTTCATTCATAACCAGGAAAAACATGCAGGCATTCGGCGTTGATCGGTCCCTTATGGTATGTGCCATGCTATCTGTTCCAAGTGAGAATCCTACTGGTATTTGAATGCGACCTGGTCTATACAATAACTTGGTAGGCTAGCTGATGAATGTACATGTCAGAGTTTTTGTTCCTGCAGAAGGTTCCGGTACGGACAAGCCAACCCCAGAAAATGGGAGACTCGGTTGGGCAGGGCAGGGTGCTGCTTCAGACGCAGCCCGCTGTTACGCCCCAGCATTCGAGCAAGATTGTACCCACCATATTCCCAGTTTCACCAACTTCCCACCTTTTTCTTCAGTTTCTCCTAAAAAAACTGCCGTTGAATGGCGAGGGGTAGGGTCGTCGCTAATCAGTTGCTGATTCCAAGTATTATAGGAAGTTGTATAGTAGGGGAGACGGTAAAGAGGATCGTAATTCGCCGCACCGCCACGCGCGGCGATGGGCGCGGCGTTTTCATAACTCGTTTTAACCTGTCGAATGAAGCACCGGACTTCATGTAGACCCCGTCATCGTAGACACTCATTACTGTTTTCGGTCCTTAATTGCATGTTGTCGCCATCTACTGCCTGAAACTATCGCCCTTTGCTGGCGGGACCGTGATGCCCAGCAGCGCGGCAAACTACGATCCTCTTGTCACA